TAACCTTTGTCCAGTTTTATTGAGAAATAATTGACATATTACTATAAAGTTTGAGGCATACTACATGTTTTGATTTATATCTATTGTGAAAAGTATTTGAATATTTTTAAAGCTTTTGAAGCTTACTTTCAAATTGCTTTCTAGAGAGGTTTTTACCATTTTATTCATTTAACGTCTCCAGGAGCGCACTTGCCTCATCCATAACAGTGCACTGCATGGGCTAGAACCAGCCCTTTCATCTTTGTCAATTTGATGTATTGAAAATGGTGTTTAATAGTTAAATTAAATTGACATTTTCTTTGATTTACAAGGGAAGCTAAATTTTTTTTCATATTTAACAAACCATTTTGTATTTCTTTGTCCATTTAACTTTTTGTTCATTTCCCATTAGTACAGTCATGTTTTTCTTACTAATTTCTAAGTCATATAATCTATCTTTTCTGTTGTTATTCTTTGTTTCTCATCCTCTGTATTAGATAAAGAATCACTTGTATTCTCTTGTTCTTTGTGTTTATTTTTTACATTTTAAAATTTGTTCCCTCTGGAAGTTATTTTGGTATACTTTTTTTCTTGAATAATTAAATTGTCCTAGAACCACATCTGTTTCTCTCTTACTTGAAAGAACATCTGAACAAGAGATTTCTCTCATTTTGGGGGGTAGGGAAAGGAGAGAAGCACAGTAAAGTGAGAGCCTTTCAAGATCATGCCTAATAGCCTAACAGTTTTCCTTGGTACTGCAAGTCAGCCAAAACTGGAGACTTGCCAAGATCCCATCCTTCACCAGGCACAACCATCATGAATTATGAATTTCAGCACATCCATATCACGAATTTGGTGCCACATCTATCTTTTTCCAATTTTAAGATCTAGTTTAAAGATTCAAAAGTGATTCGTGTGAGTGTGCTAGGGAGCCCAATTGTCTCTAAATTGTACAACCTAGGCCTGAAGCCATTCTGTAATACTGTCTTTAATGTAGACTCACTTGTTATAAAGCCAAGTATTTTTCTAATCCATATCATTGCTATATCAACATCACACTGTTTTAATTATTGTAAATTTTAATGTCTTAGTATAGAGGTTGGAATCTTGAGGGCAAGGACTTTACTCATCACTATATCCTCAGTACCCAGAACAATACTTAGCATATTAAGAGGATTACAAATGTAGTTAGAATGAATGAGAGTGTTTCCTTAATGTGTTTTTGTTTTGTTTTTTTAATACACCAGTGGTTCAAAAAATGTGGATCCTGGACTGTAGGCATGAGCACACCTTGGGAACTTAAAAATGCAAATTCTCAGGCATTGCCTAGTGAATCTGAAACTTGAGTAGGACCCAGAATTCTCTGTAACAAACCTGCCAGGTGGTTCTGATGCTCAGTCAAATTTGAGAAATACTGAGAAAGCCTATTATATTAGAACTACAATAAGTGAAATTAAAAATTTAAACAAATAGTATGAGAGACTGTTTAAAAGGCCTTAAATCTTGAAATTTATCCTCTTGATGAAGTCTTTACCATAGGTGATATTTCTAATATAGTGTTAAGAGTTAACAGCCAGGAAGCACATCTTGTGATGAAAGGCCAAGATACAGTGGCCTGTGAGATCTGAGCACCCTTAAGAAAATTGCTTCACCTTCTGTAAACTGCTAAGAACAGTGGGTTCTGTTAACTGCAGGATCTGTTTTGCTGAGAAAAAGGTGAGTTTGGGCCTAATCTTCCTTGTGACCTGGCCCCATTGCTCCTTATGAATAGGTCTCATGACTAGGGCTAGACAAGTAGGCCAATAATGTGATTCCAGAGTGGAGACAGATAGAAGAGAAGCTAGAATTATCTTGTGCCCAAAAGAAAGATGGTGCCCTAGCTGGTTTGGCTTAGTGGATACAGTGTCAGCCTGTGGACTGAAAGGTCCCAGGTTCGATTCTGGCCAAGGGCACATGCCCAGATTGTGGGCTCGATTCCCTAGGGGGCATGCAGGAGGCAGCCGATCAATGATTCTCATTGATGTTTCTATCTCTCTTTCTCCCTTCCTCTCTGAAATCAATAAATATATATTTTTTTAAAAAGTAAGATGGTGCTCCAAGAATAATGGGCACATGTTAAAAGGACATAAGTGGAGGAGAAGGGATAGGTCTTTCTGGTAGGACATTAATTACCAATGGCCAGATCTGGAACTATCTAAAGAGAAAATAAATGATAGTAGATTGCAGCTCAGAATAAAAATCCTTTTTTTTTTTTTAAATATATTTTTTATTGATCTTTTACAGAGAGGAAGGGAGAGAGATAGAGAGTCAGAAACATCGATGAGAGAGAAACATCGATCAGCTGCCTCCTGCACATCTCCTACTGGGGATGTGCCTGCAACCCAGGTACATGCCCCTGACCGGAATCGAACCCGGGACCTCTCAGTCCACAGGCCGACGCTCTATCCACTGAGCCAAACCGGTTTTGGCATAAAATCCTTATGGCTATAAATAAACTATTGAATAAGGGAGTAGAAGGAATGATGGAATTAGAGAATCACCATTTGGCCAATTGCACAGTAGTAAGTTACAGTGGGCCAATTGCACAGTAGTAAGTTACAGTTATGGCAGTCTCCAGAGAGATAGGTCCTGCTCCCTGGAACCTGTGGATGTTATCTTCCATGTGACTAAGTCTCTCAAGATAGAAAGATTATCTAAAAGCCATCGGGTAGAGGGAGATTAGATAAAGCAATGTGAAGACAGAGGCAGAGATTGGAATGAAGTAGCTACAAGCCAAAGAATACCAGCAATCAGGAAGCTGGAAGGGACAGAAAGTATCTCTCCTCAATATACTTATTAATTACAAAAGGAAACAGTAGAAGAAACCAGAGAGCTCCCGCCTTATCTGAATGATCAAAGGTGCCATTACCAGTAATAAGTCGTATTGGCATCATGACCTGATATGATGCACTGAGAAGGGCACATCAACCCTGGCAAGTATCCTCATTATTCTTTGAGTAGATGGATGGGGAAAACTGAGGCTCAGGGAGGATAAGGTCATATAAGCAGAAAGTGGCAGAGAAGGTATCAAACAAGGCTAACTGGCAGTCAATTTTCTTAACTTTTAGGACACTGCCTCTTGCTCAACATACAAAATATTCATTCCAGCTCCTAAGAATTTAGGGGAAAATGAAGTTTTCACACAAGTCTTTCCACACTGGTTATATCCAAGTTTTATTCTCCAGCATGAAGCTTCTGATGTCGAACAAGTGCTGAACTGTGCCTAAAGGATTTCCCACATTCAATACATTCATAGGCCTTTCTCCAGTACGAATTCTGTAGTGTTCACTAAGGCGTGCTTACTTGCGGAAAGGTTTTTCCCTCCTTTTCCCCCAGGAAGTGAAAATGGAATCTTCTTTAATCCCGAGGATTAAAAACAAGAATTGTGCCCATTCCATTTTAGAAAGTGTTTATAAAATACTTTAAGACACCTTTCACCCTTGTTTTACCATTTCATCCTCAAGAAAACTCTCCTTATCCTCTCTAATCTCCACACAGGACTCCCAAAATAGGACTGTATAAATATTATGCTAAATACCTATATAATCAAGAATTCTCTAAAGTTTCTGATGGGCAAAAATTGATTAAAATACATTAATCTGCCCTAGTTGGTTTGGCTCAGTGGATAGAGCGCCGGCCTTCGGACTGGGGTCCTGGGTTCGATTCCAGTCAAGGGCATATGCTGGGGTTGCAGGCTCAAACCCCAGTAGTGGGCATGCAGGAGGCAGCCGATCAATGATTCTCTCTTCACTGATGTTTCTCTCTTTCCCTCTCCCTTCCTCTCTGAAATCAACAAAAATATTTTTTAAAAATACAAAAACATTAATCTAACAAAATAATAGTATTTATTGAACACTTAATATGCACCAGCAATGAATTCTACAGTGTTAGTTATAAATATAATGACATTTGCTTTCTATCAACTATACATATTTTTATGAGCATAGGGTTATTTTGCCCATAAGGTATTTTATTCAATTATAAAAAAATTGCCCTGTGCCAGGTTTTGAGAGCATGCCTTCACAGCTGGAGAGAGAAGTGTATGTGATATCTCTCCCACATTCCCACTAATGGTAATTAATGGCTCAAACCAATGCTTACAAGGCAATTGCTCCTGAAAAGTCAATGCTGAGTTCCAGATAATCAACCATTCGAGAATCAACTTACTTTCATGGTTTTTATAGCCATATTTTAGGAACTGCATTACGCTACAGATTAGAGAAATGATTTCCTGTCAAAGGCCATCCTCACTTCATCTTCCAGAGCTGAATTTCTGGGTAGCAGTTAAGAACATAAAAAGGGCCCTAACCGGTTTGGCTCACTGGACAGAGCGTCGGCCTGCGGACTGAAAGGTCCCAGGTTCGATTCCGATCAAGGACATGTACATTGGTTGCGGGCACATCCCCAGTAGGATGTGTGCAGGAGGCAGCTCATCATTGTTTCTAACTCTCTATCTCTCTCCCTTCCTCTCTGTAAAAAATCAATAAAATATATATTTTTTAAAAGAACATGAAAACGGGGTTAGAGGGGAAAGCGGTCCTAATATATGGTGACAGGAGATTTGACTTTGGGTAGTGAACACATGGTGCAATATACAGATCTTGTAACACAGAAACCCAAACCTGAAACCTATATGTTCATGTTGACCAATGTCACCCCAATAAATTTAATAAACAACATGAAAAGGACTGAGGAATCAGAGAAAAACATGCTCTATCTCTCAGAATAAAATACCATCAGTCAGTGGTAACCTGTGATATTTTTATTTTCAGGAATTTAAAAAAGGTCATCTCTCAAACTCTTTCCCAATGTAGCTCATGAAAAGTATTTCCCTAGATCAGTGATGGCGAACCTTTTGAGCTCGGCGTGTCAGCATTTTGAAAAACCCTGACTTAACTCTGGTGCCATGTCACATATAGAAATTTTTTTGATATTTGCAACCATAGTAAAACAAAGACTTATATTTTTGATATTTATTTTATATATTTAAATGACATTTAAAAAAGAAAAATCAACCAAAAAAATGAGTTCGCGTGTCACCTCTGACAGGCAGATCATAGGTTCGCCATCACTGCCCTAGATACTCCTAATCTGTACCTAAGGGTAAATATCCAGGACAACATATACCCAATAAAATTAGAAACACCTGATATCTAACAAATCTGTATTATACCACCAGTGGCATAATTACATGAAACCTAGCCCTCCCAACTAGTGACCAACACTTTCATTAGGTCTGGTGCAGCATCCCCCAATTCCAGCCAATCTAAAAGTCTGTCTTCCTTCTTCGCTAACACTTTCTTATCCTTAAAGGCAAACAAACTGAGTCGAATCCCACTTGGTTTAGACAGTTAATCTTAGTGGGTTCCTCTCCGATTCCCTGTGAACCAGTAACCTAGCCAGATTTATAAGCTCAAGAGAAAAGTGTACACCTCTGTCTAGGCCAGTGGTATGCTGATGGCTTGCTCAGGCATAAGCAGGTTTCCTGCTCTGTGGCTTATGATCACTAGCCAAGCACAGGCCATTTCCATCCTGGATAAGCTACTGTTCCTTTCGAACAGAGGTTGGGCCTTCCTCCCCATGGCCTTCCCAGAAATGGCATCATTCAAGAAAAGTCTCTCTTGACCTATTTCTTTCCTCAGCTTAAGAGGATCAGGAAAGATCTCCCTCATTCTGATAAAAGCCTTCTTTACCAACGTCTATGTTGAGATCACCCGTTCTTGGTCCATATCTCATTGGTAAATGAATATGGACCATCTTTCACTTGTTTCTGTCTCCCCTTTATGGGACCACTTCCACAGGCTGAGCAGCTTCCCTCACAGTAACAGGGTCAGAGCTGTCTCAGAAATCTAGAGGCTACTTAGCACTACCTCAAACTGCTGCCACTTTCAAAATGACAGTGTTTGGAAAAGCATCTAAGCCAACTGATGAGTGAACATACATGATAATTTGGGAAGCTAGGTGAGTGTAGTAAGGGAAAGACAAACACTAACTTAACAAATGGCACCTCAAGGTATGAGAGTCACATGAGAAGAGAGGAGTGGCAAGCAGCAAGGATTTATCTGAAAAGCAGGAACTTCCTTTCTACCCTGTACTCCCAGATGCCCACCTGGAGTAGGCTCTGCATTCTCCAAGCCCCCACATATATTTCTGGAAATACTCTTATGAGGGCAGCATTTAAGGCTACTTCATCCTTCCTTCCAGGAACTATACCTGCCCCCACTTCTCAGCCAGATTCCTAGCCACTATTTCTTGAGAAACTGCCGTTACCTCATGCCAGGTTCATTCACCACTGTGAAGTTTCTGATGTCTGAAAAGCACTGAACTATGTCTGAAGAATTTTCCACATTCAATGCATTCATAAGGCTTCTCACCAGTGTGAATCCTGTAATGTTCGCTAAGGTGTGCATACTTGCGGAAGGTTTTCTCACACTCACTACATTTAAAGAGCTTCTCACCAGTGTGAGTTCTATGATGTTCAGTAAGAGATGAGCTATGAGCAAAGGCTTTCCCACATTCTTTACATTTATAGGGCTTCTCTCCAGTGTGAATTCTCATGTGCTGAGTGAGGCAGGTATTCTGATTGAACCCTTTCCCACATTCATTGCATTTATAAGGTTTTTCTCCAGTGTGACTTCTCTGATGCCGAATAAGACAAATGCTCTGAATGAAAGCTTTACCACATTCACTGCATTTGTAGGGTCTCTCCCCTGTGTGAATTCTCTGATGTTTCGTGAGTGGGGTACTCTGAGTAAAAGCTTTGCCACATTCTTTACATTTATAAGGTTTCTCTCCAGTATGAATTCGCAGGTGTTTAATAAGGGATGGACTCTGACAAAAAGCTTTTCCGCATTCCTTACATTTATAGGGTTTCTCTCCAGTATGAATTCTCTGATGCTGAGAAAGATTTGCCTTTGTTTGAAAAGTTTTCCCACAATCATCACATTTATGGGGTTTTTCCCCCGTGTGAATTCTCTGATGTTGTATAAGGTTTGAGTGTTTACGAAAAGAAGAGCCACATTCATTGCATGAGTAAGGTTTCTCACCAGTGTGGATTCTCTGATGATGAATGAGGTGTGTATTCTGATTGAATGCCTTCCCACACCTATTACATTTATAAGGTTTCTCTCCAGTGTGAATTCTCTGATGTTCAGTGAGATGTGAATGACTGCGGAAGGAATTCCCACATTCATTACATTTATAAGGTTTCTCTCCAGTGTGGATTCTTTGATGCTGAGTAAGAAATGATCGGCAACGAAATGTTTTCCCACATTGCTCACATCTGTATGGTTTCACTTCAGTGTGAATTCTTTGATGCTGGACAAGGAATGAACTACAACTAAAGGCTTTCCCACATTCCTCACATACATAGGGTCTCTCTCCAGTATGAGTTATCTGATGTTGAGTAAGGGATGAGCTCTGAGTAAATGTTTTTCCACATTTGTTACATTTCCAAGACTTTTTCCGAATGGAGAGGGTTGAGCATTTACTTTGATTTGAAATCTCATTGGTGTGTATGCCACTTGTCTCCCACTGATGTAGACTATCTTCTGTAGAAACCCTGAGATGAGTAACAAGGCTTGAGGTCAAAAGCAACCTCTTCTCAAAATTATATTCTTGGCTCATCATTTTAGGAAGTGCTTCCTTTCGGATGAAAGTTATTCCCCCAAAACCTTCTTCCTGGAAAAAGCATGACCTGGGCACCTCTTCAGGAGAGTTTTCCTTGATGCTCTCACATGCATATTTTTTTCAAATGTAGAATCCCGGGATTCATCCTCTTGGAGCCTGTTTCCTACTGTCCCCGGTGACTCAATTTCAGAGATATCCTGCTCTGGAGCAGACTTGTTCACCCAACCTGAAAGAAACCATCAGAATCAATCTCTCTTATGCATGGCAAAGTGAAGGCCCTTGAAGTTCTGGGACCTAACTTTGCAGGTCTCAGTAAAAAGCAAGTGGGACAACTAATTCAAAGTTGCAAGTGGTAGAAGAGATCTGTATCAGGATAAGGTGATCACCATTAATTAGGAATTCCATGGAAAGGGCAGCTACAGACACCCAGAGAGTGAGAGAACCAGAGACAATGGAGATAAGGGGAAAATAACAAACAACAACAAGCTAATGATTAGGGCAAGACAGGAAACATGGATGTTTTATATCTAAAGAATGGAGGATAGTGGGAGAATGTAAAATGGCAAATCCTGGGAATGAAAGAGATAAAATGAGTACAGGGGAAAAGTTGTCCCCAAGAGATACCCAGTTCTATCCCCAACGACCCTAAAGAGATGATAGTTTTATCGCCTGAGCTTCATTCAGTTTCTCTTGTAAAATTTCCAAAGCCCTGCTGCTTCTCCCACTGGTTGTACCTTGCTAACTCACCTGGAAAAATCTCTCTTCCAATCTCTCTTTTCAGCTCCTTGCATATTCAACATCCACAAATCTTCTCCTTGCTTTAATTATAAAACACTTCAAGGTTGGAAAACTGGGAGCCCTGCTCACAGGGAAACAGGTAGAGATGGGATATCACTGTCCCAGTAGACAAAAATGAGAAAGAGCTGTTGCCTAGGGAGACTAAATGACTCACACAAAACTTGTCAGGTGAGCAATGTGACTGCATCAACAAAAATCAGGGTTAGCCTATAGCATTCTAGGTTCACAAACTCCATCTGTCAATTCTCCAAGAAGTGACAGCTAGACAGAATGATATTATAACAAACACTCAAGTAATTGATGAATAATTAAGAATATTATTTATAAAGATAATTAAGAAGTGGACAGAAATATTCAAGTTAATATGTATCTGCTGTCCATTATACAATAATTTGTATGAAAAGTCAATTAATAAATTGAGAAGTTGTATGGGAGTCACAACAAGGCTAATGCATTAGTCTGATCCAGCCCTGCCGGGGTAGCTCAGCAATTGAGCATTGACCTCTGAACCAGGAGGTCATGGTTCAACTCCTGGTCAGGGCAATCTCTCCCTCCCTTTGTGAAATGAATAAAAGATATATTTTTTAAAAGGCTTCAGTTTAAATAAAACACTTTGTAAAGTAATTTTTTTACTTATAAAAGAGTTGAAAAAATAAAAGTAGTTTCTGTTGTTTGGAATGTCAAAATTCCAAAAGCTTATCCAAAAATATCTCTTCATATTCTTCATATAACCTTGACATGAGAAGTAGAATTGGCAGCATTAATTCAAGGAAAACAGAGACTTTTTTTTATATATACCATAATTGAAAGCTCAGAGGCATGAAAAAATAGACTGTGCCTGGTGAAGTACATAATCAGGCTGGTCCTGTGGACTTCTCAGGTCTGCCACCAAGATACATGTCCTTGACCAGAATCGAACCTGAGACCCTTCATTCAGTCCATGGGCTAATGCTCTATCCCCTGAGCCAAACCAGCAAGGTTGAAGAATCAATTTTTATTTTAAATTGAAATGTTTTTAATGCTAAAACTTAAGTCCAGTAAAGGTGCAGGGGAAGGAAGTTTCTCACACATTACCGGTGGGAATGTAACCTGGTACCATCTTTCTAGAGGTATTTGGGCAATAAGTATCAGATCTTAAACTTGTAGATTCATTTGCATTTGTGACACAGTGATCACCATTTTGTGGGTGTATGAACTAAGAAGAGAATACTCATTATGAGTATACAACACCTGCAGTGTATCTCAGAAGATGCTCAAAGTTATGGGTATATGTAATAAAAATGCCTATATTGTTTGGCCCACTAATTCCACTATTAGAGCATTCTCATAGTAAAGTAACTTTCCAGAGAGGAAAATGACTGAATCCTTTCATTAACTGCTAAAAAGAAGAAAAAAGCCCTGCAATGTTGTAGGAAACACAATTTTCTATCGATGAGACACCGAGGCTTAGCAAATTATAGTATTTCCACTTGGTAGAAATTATATAGGCATTAAGATTAAAGTAAAATATAAAAATAAGTGACCAATTGGAAAAATACTTATGGAAAAATGCAGGATATTCAAAATTCAAGTACAACATAACATCCTATATGTTAAAATATACATATGCCTAAGACCAAGAAGGAAAATTAATCTTCAATCACTATAACGATACAGTAAATTATGAATGATTTTGCCCTCTAGTTCCCAAATTTCTTCAATTATCACATTTTGTCTTATTTTTTAAAAACTAACTTAAGTCTCTAACTATGTATCACACTGTTAACCATGATCATCTCTGAGGAATAAGATTATGGTAAAATTTTGCTTTAAGGCCTATCTTTTTGCAACACTTGAAAGTATTCCAACCAAATAAACAATTCTTCTAATGAGAAGAAAAGTGAAAAATATAATCAGAGAAAAGCACAAAGATTTATGTACAAAGATCATCCTCTTACTATAATTGTAAAAAAAAAAAAAAAAAAAACAGGCAAAAACCACCAAAGTCATATAAATATGACATATTTTGGAACTATTAAAAATCATGTTTTCAAAGACAATTCATGAGAAAATACAATATATTAGAATAGGATACAAACAGTAAAACAAAAAATATGCACACATATACCAACATTAGTAAGCATTCAATAAACAGAAATTATTATTAATACACAGATATTTACAAACACACACACAAAGGATGGAAGAAAACCCATCAAATGCTAACACACCGATCTCTAGGACATTTATTAGGTTACTTTGTCCTTTACACTCTCTTATATATTTCACTTTCCCTACAATAAACATGCATTACTTTTATAGTCAGAGAAATCATTCTTTTGAAAATGACAGATCTCACCATAAAATAAAAACAAAAGGTAGATCCAATGGATATGGTATTGGCCTCCCATTCAGAGTAAGATTAAAGTGGATTAGGAGTCAGGAAACTTTGCTATGTCATAGCCCATGTAATTGGGCCTACACGATAGGATATTTAACTGAAAAAAGTGACAAATTAGCCGTAACCGGTTTGGCTCAGTGGATAGAGCGTCGGCCTGCGGACTGAAAGGTCCCAGGTTCGATTCCGGTCAAGGGCATGTACCTGGGTTGCGGGCACATCCCCAATAGGAGATGTGCAGGAGGCAGCTGATTGATGTGTCTCTCTCATCAGTGTTTCTAACTCTCTCTCTCTCTCCCTTCCTCTCTGTAAAAAATCAATAAAATATTAAAAAAAAAAGTTTAAAAAAAAAAGGTGACAAATTACATAATGTACATGAGTTCTTCCAGCTCTAACATTCTGTAAATCCTAGATAAATGACTTAATTAATGTAAAACATTTATGGCGATCTGCCACAATATAAGCACTCAACAGGAGTTAAGAGTTATTATGTTTAATCCTAAGGCCTAAAGAGAAAACAGGTTGGAGACAATACTCCCTTCTCCAACTGTGGATCATCGTAGCTGTCAGCAGTTTGTTTCTGTCAAACTGCAAACTGTTTTCTGTAAAGGGCTATAAAGTACGTATTTTAGTCTCCTGTTTAGGTTATATGGCCTCACTCTCTGTCACCACTCAACTTTGCCTTTACAGTCTGAAAACTGAACTAGAAATATGTAAACAAATGAACTTATCTGTTTTAATAAATCATTTTTAGCCCTGGCCAGTGTGACTCAGTGGCTAGAGTGTCGGCCTGTGCACCATATCAAGGGTACTATCTTGGTTGCAGGCTGATCCTCAGCCCCAGTTACAGGAGGCAACCAATCAATGTCTCTCTCTGGTGAGGATTTAAAAAAAAATTTTTTTTCATTTTTTATTTTATTTTTTTACAAAAACATGAACCACAGATGACCTACTCCCTGGGAATAAATTCCTCAGAAAGGAATTACAGGTGTTTCCACAAATGCCTAGTGTGGAATAATCTGAGTGTTGGTGATTTTAAGATGCTAAAAAGACTCTGTTTGAATCCAGACTTGGGCTTCGATGGGTATCATACTGAAAGGTAAAAGGAAATAAGCTTTAAATAGTTTCACCCTGTTAAAAGTAATTGGGAAGCTACAGGAGTATAAAACACAGCAGGACTCTTACAGGCACTACTGGAGAGGACTCTGCTGGCATTCATGGAGGGATACCTTGACTTCGACTTTTGAAGACTCCGCCGGGTGTGCTCTGCCTTTGCTGCTGCAGGCACAGAGAATACAAGTCAGATATCATGTCACTGAGTCTAAGACACTTGACTGTTCCTAAGAAAATGAAAAATCACTACCAACTAAACTATGGTATGAGTACAGATGGTAAAAAATAAAGAAGTACAGATGGTGAGGCTCATTCTGATATTATAAATATTAAAATGTGGGAGGAAACAGTAATTGGGCGTGGGCTTCACCCTCTACCTTGTAAGCTTTCTCCCCACTGCCATCTCTTCATCCCCTCAAAAATTAGCTGAAGTGTTCTGGGCAAGCCAGGTAGCTTTTTTCAAGAATTTGAAACCACAATTCTTTCACTAAGATCACACTTACATGTACTCTTCTCTGAAGCCCTTCTTGAATTGGTCAGTTGGCCAAGTACCATTCACCGAGGCTGCAGTTGCACAATGGATTTATCTCTGCTGCAGCTTTCGGGCATTTACTAGCAACTTATCTATTCTCTGTACCTCAATTTCCTCTTTCAAAACTACAGATAATAAGTTACTGAGAAGGTTAAATAAATTAGCACAACTGTTTCCAACAGTGTCACAAACACGCGCGCGCGCGCACACACACACACACACACACACACACACTTCCAGACCGGACGTATCTTCTCATTTGGCAGGCGCCAACGTCACTCTTTCTATGACCTGAATTCTGCGTAATATTTGGCAATAAGCAGATAGTAAAATTTTGATGGAAGACATTGACGTCTGCATACATGCTGTAACATACAATCTGTCAACTGAGCCTTGGAAAGGAAGGCAAGGATTACTAGACAGTCTAACTTCAGAGATCAACCAACAGCCTCTGTACCCCGTGAATTACATAACCAAGGTCTCGACACCCTCCACCGCGTGGGCTTAGCAGTACCTGCCGTCTCCTATTCCACGGTCCCTACAAAGCTTCTGAGCTGCAGGACTAATTGGGGGAGTAGGTGGTATCCAGACCCAGACCCGGGGTTTCGTTTCCGACCATTTACCTATCACTCAATCACCCGTTCGTTCACTCCATCTTCTCAAGCGTCTCCTCTGGGGTGGGCCCGCGGCCGGGTGCTGGGGCCCCGTGAGAGCAGCGCTGAGGCCGCCGGGAGAACGAGGCCGGCGCAGACAGCAATGCCGGGAGAAGGGGAGAACGAGGCCGGCGCAGGCTTTCTCTATAACCTCCGGCCCTCCGCCGCGCTGACACCCCTCTCTGGGCCCCGCCCTCTCACTGGGTTCCCGGAGTTGCCCCGGGGCGGTTACTGCGGTGCCAGCCAGGCCTGCAATCCCCGGGCGCGGAGAAACCTGCCTCGGCCGGAAGTGCAGTGGCGCGGCAGGAAGTGCGTCACCAGCGGCCCCGACACCCTCCCCCTTGCGCATCTCTAGGAAGCAGGAGGAGCATCTATCTCCCCAAAAGCCTTAAAGAAGGAAATTTAGCCCTGGCTGGTTTGGCTCGGTGGATAGAGCGTCTGCCTGCAGACTGAAGGGTCTCAAGTTCGATTCCGGTTGGGGGCACATGCCCGGGTTGTGGGCTCCATCCTCAGCGGGGGGCGTGCGGGAGGCAGCCAATCAATGATACTCTCTCATCATTGATGTTTTTCTCCCTTTTCCTTCCTCTCTGAAATATGTGAAAATGAATTAAAAAATAAAATTTATTTTTTTAAAAAAAAGGTATTCTGACCTGGTTTCCCTCCAGCTGCATCCTGATATCCCAGAAATACTACGTTGTCCCGGAACGCAGTGAGGACCTCGTCCCTCATTAAACTGTAGATGGGGCATTAGGGCGGGAAAGTGTGCTGGGTAGGAGTCACAATGGACCATCTCTGTAAGGGACTAGTAGATCCCACCTGCTAAAAGCCCCTGATGAAGAACCTTGAATGATCTACTTTTTAGTTAGAATAATGGACAAGTTTCCCAATCTAGGCCCCCACACACTGAAGTGTTACCTGAAGGGACAGTAAACACCGTTCACCACCCCACCCCAGCCTCTGGCAGCCACTCCAGCCCCAACAGCTGTTGGGTTCAAGGGCCATCTAACTGCTCCTGCCACACTCTTACCTCCTTAGACATCCCCTCACAGCTGCTCTGGCCTCAGGGTCACAGAACCATCTGGCTCCTCCCTTAGCAGTGGCTCCTTGGACTTCATTCTAAACAGATTCTACCTTGGTTGACCCGAGTTATGGCTTCACATCTTCCCTCTCTGACCTGTTACCATCCCCTCATCAGCCAAGGCCTCTGCTTATTACTCTCGAAGTTTTGGGTGAATATGTAACTCTCCCAGCAGTGGTGACGGATTCAGCCCAGTTCCCGGGGAAGGACTGTGCTAGACTGACGCCTTTGCTGGCTTCAGTCTCTGCCCAGTTCAGGGCCCACCACCACCAGGGGGCAAAAAGGAATGGCTGCTCAGAGTCTCCGGTCCACATCTATGCCAGAAACTGTACCCCCTGATCAACTGTGAAAGTAAAAATGTCTTTCCAATCAACTAAGGCTTCGTTTTCTTTTACCCATTCCGACCCTGTCCTCCAGCAGAAATATGGCAGGTCTGTGCAACTAGGCAGCCTTTCAATGGTTACAAAGACATTTCAAATCCACTTCATCCTAAGCTTAAACCCGAGTGGAGGTCGGGGGAGAACTGATGTTCAAAAGGGTTAGGGATCTGTCCTGGGCTGTTGATGAGTGAGGGGCAGGGCCAACCTAAAATGCTGCTTCCCCACCACAAGGTCTGAGAGACTCATCTTGTCCCGAAACATGGCCTGGTTTATGCCCCATCCACCCAATGCCAGATAAATCAGCTGGGCAGGAACGGAGGGTCTCAGGGTCTTGGAAGCCACCCAAGGATGGTCTGCTCCCCTCCTTTTCAACCCCTTCTGCCCCAAACACACACACACTGTCTGATTCCTTTCCCTACCATGTCTCCACTCTTCCCCTTCCCCATTGCCTATATTTCCCTTGCAGGCCCTGGCCTCATCCCAAACACTCCCATCACTCCCCATCCTTGTTGCAGTCTCCTCCTTCCCCTCACTGACCTCAGGCTACAGCCTCTCCTTTGTTTTCCCTCCCAAAGCTTGACTACAGCATCATCCTCCCTACCCATCTCTACCCTCACACCCCTCAGCATACCTTTGCTCCTCAGGATCTTCCCTTTTCCTCCACCAGCTGCCCTCTCCCCTGCCATCCCAATCCCCACCCCATCTCTAGCTCACCAAATGAGGAGACGGGCTCAGTGAACCTGCCAGGGCCCTGGCTGCAGGCTGTTGCTGGGCAGCTCTAGGGAGGTGTCTTCATCTGAGTTCCTCCCACTGAACCAAGGGGAAAAGGGGCGGAGGTGGGGCCAAGACCCAAAGAGGTCCTTACTCCAAAATGAACTTCAAATGGACCTACCTCAAAGTAGACTAGTCAAAGGGTTATGCCATGGAAACTTGTATAGTCTTGAAGATGGGAAGTCTTTGATTTGACACTAAACTGTAAGTATTAAGGTAAAAGGACTAACTATAAACTGGGGAAAATATTTGCAACACATATGGCAGATAAAAGAGTAATTTCTTTACTATAGTTTGTACAAATCATTTCTTAAACAGATCAACAACCCAACAGAAACTGTTAAAGAACATGAACAAGCAATGCAAATTCAAAAAGAAAATATACATGGCTTTTAAGCACGAGACACGATAGCCAGTTTCACTCATAAATGAACGTAAAACATGAGGGCATTTTTCATTTATCAGATCAGAAGTCCAAACAATAGTTTTACAGAGGACTCAGGGAAATGGGCATTTTCATACACATACTGGGAACCACAGTTGCATTTCTATTGAAGTATCAAATGCCCTTACCCTTTATCCATTTATCCTGCAAAGTGGCACACATACCAAAGGAGAGTGTGCCGGGATATTCAGCATGTTGCTGTTGTCATAGGAAAAGACAGGAAAGAAACTACATGTCCACCAACAGGGCACTCGCTACATGAATCACAGCACATCCACACAATGGAAGGTCACACAGCAGTGAAAAAAAGAATGAGGTAGATCTTATATAGGCTAATATAGAAACATCTCCAAGACATACGAAAAAGCAAGGTATAGGCAATGTGCATCATAAACTCCTGTGTGTAGGGAGGGGGTGTGATACAGAATATTGCAAATGCATGGACTATCTCTAGAAGGATCATCAATTTTTATTTTTATTTTTTACTGAAGTTATCTCTGGGCTGGGAGACTTACTCTTCACTGTTTGCTTTTGCACCACAACTTTAGATAAGGAGAGGGGTCCCTGGGGACACACTGAGGAAGTAACTTGGGAGAAAGGGGCTTTGGCTTCAGAGTTGTTCTAATCCTGACTGTGACTCCTGGCTTTGTAAATGGGATAAAAAGACTTCCCTCCTGAGGTGAGGGTTAAATGAGATAAAAGTCATATGGCATTTAGCATGGTGCCTAGCACACAGGAGCCCCTCAACTAATGGGGTGGTTACAACCTTGGGTTGCCTCCCTCGTCTCCTCCCAACATCACAGTTATGTTGGCCACTGTGAACACACAGGGTGGCCTCACTGAGGCCCAAGGAAGCCAGGGACGGTCAGGTCTGGGCAAGGCCCCATTTGTCACAGGTCACATCTCACCAGGATGTGGAGGCCTGGATTTCTGGCTTGGGAATTTTGCTTCTTGCCCCTAAGGCCTACTCATTCCATCTGTCCTTACTCTGACCCCCTGCCACTGATTAGGTCAGAATCCCACGGTCTCTTCTGGACTCTGACAAAAGCTGTCTGTGTGGTCTCCAGGGTTTCCTTCACCAGCCAAGCCTCCACACTCTGCTGCTCGCTCTACATATTCCACACTCCACCAGAACATCTCACCACTCTGCACAGCCGTGATCTTCCCCTTTTATTAATTCCCCCTTTCCTGATAAAAGATTCAGGCTCATTGTAAAAAATGTAGACAATACAGGAAAACTTAACCACTGTTAATACCCGATGTACTTATTTCCTTCAGATCTTTTCTATGTGTGTACAATTAAGAAAACTGGGTCTCAGTCCCAGCCAAGTAGCTCAGTTGGTTGGAGCATTGTCCCAATACACCAAGGCCACGGGTTCAATCCCATGAGGGCACATACAAGACACAACCAATGAATACGTAAGTAAGTGGAACAACAAATTGATGTTTTGCTCTCTCTCCCTCTCTCTAAATTCAATAAATAAAAATTTTAAGAAACTGGGCTCTCTTTTAATTTTGTAGTTCTGCATAATTTAAATGTTCTTTAAATTATGACTTTTAGTGACTGCATAATTTAATCATTCTATTACTGGTCACTTTGGTTGTTTTCAATGTAAAATAATAATTGACAGCCGAAACCGATTTGGCTCAGTGGATAGAGCGTCGGCCTGCGGACTGAAGGGTCCCAGGTTTGATTCCGGTCAAGGGCATGTACCTGGGCTGCGGGCACGTCCCCAGTAGGGGATGTGCAGGAGGCAGCTGATCGATGTTTCTCTCTCATCGATGTTTCTAACTCTCTATCTCTCTCCCTTCCTCTCTGTGGAAAATCAATAAAATATATTTTAAAAAAAATAAATAAAATAAAATAATAATTGACAAATATATAAAGCATTGTTACAATATTCACTTTCAGGATAACTTTCTGAAAGGGCACTACTGTATCAAAGCATAGCAACATTTTTTTTTTAATATATTTTATTGATTTTTTACAGAGAGGAAAGGAGAGGGATAGAGAGTTAGAAACATCGATGAGAGAGAAACATCGATCAGCTGCCTCCTGCACACCCCCCACTGGGGACGTGCCTGCAACCAAGGTACATGCCCTTGACTGGAATAGAACCTGGGACCTTTCAGTCCGCAGGCTGACGCTCTATCCACTGAACCAAACCGGTTAGGGCCAACATTTTTTTTAAAATGGTTGAGCTTTCCCTAAAATGATAATGGGTTAAAATGGTTCAAAATGTATGAATAACGATGATGGGATAAGATAAGCAAATTTCTAGAAGATAGAAAATGGGTAGGTGATCACTGAGAAAGCTGGGTGGAGGGAATACCAGCTTGGGACACTTGCTGAGGGCAATACAACTGAAGGAGGTAATACAAGTGAAGGGTGGGAGGGAAGTGGGGCTGCAACTAAGTCTGTACTAAGCCTTGATACCCTTCCCTCCCACTCCTAGAGAAGCACTTACAGCATCCAATCTCCAGACAAAAACATCAGAGAATTTTTTGCTAAAGAAATGTAAGAGGCCCAGACAAAAGATACCTTCGTTCTGGCATTTACAGGTTTCGGGAAACAACTTGCTCCCTACCAGTCATTTTAAAGGGAGCTAATCCCACTCCCACTGAGAGGTCTGGACTGGGCTTTCCATACGTACATACAAGTGCATCAGTAAAAATCATCATGTATTTGAGGAAAGTCCCCAATGAGTGAATAAGACAAAGAGACAAAAAGGACTCAGGCAGGGCATGAAGGGGGTGAGGTAATTCAGGTGACAGGAGAGGTTTTGTTTTTTTTTTAATATATTTTATTGATTTTTTACAGAGAGGAAGGGAGAGAGATAGAGAGTTAGAAACATCGATCAGCTGCCTCCTGCACATCCCCTAATGGGGATGTGCCCGCAACCCAGGTACATGCCCTTGACCGGAATCGAACCTGGGACCCTTCAGTCCACAGACGGACGCTCTATCCACTGAGCCAAACCGGTTTTGGCCAGAAGAGGCTTTTAAGAAAACTCTTGCCCTAGCCGGTTTGGCTCACTGGATAGAGCGTCGGCCTGGGGACTGAAGAATCCCAGGTTTTATTCTGGTCAGGGGCATGTACCTTGGTTGCAGGCACATCTCCAGTAGGGGGTGTGCAGGAGGCAGCTGATCGATGTTTCTCTCTCATCGATGTTTCTAACTCTCTATCCCTCTCCCTTCCTCTCTGTAAAAAAATCAATAAAATATATTTTTTTTTTAAAAAGAAAGAAAACTCTTAATTAGAATACTCAGATTTGAGAGGCATCTCTAAAATGAGGATAGTATGCTACAAAAAGAAACAAACATGAAAAAACTTAAAAACTAAACTAATTACTGCAAAATTGAAAAAATCACTAGAAAGGTTGAAAAATAATCAAAGTACTCTACCAGAAAATGGCAAAAGACAAAGAAATAGAAATAATCGAGAAAGTAGTTAAGGTTCAATCCAGAAGGTCTAACATTTGATTGACAGGAATTCAGGATTAACAGAAAGAGTAAAAATAGGGAAAAAATATATATGGAAAGGAAGAACTGCCAAATAACACAAGAAGAAAATTTCCAAGAGTAGAAGTACCTGAGTCACTAAATTGAGAAATTCCAGCAAGAACGTTAGGGAATTGAGTACACCCAGGATAAAGTGGAGACTTTAAAAGCTTCCAGCCTTAGAGCGAGGGAACAGGTCACAATGATGCAGATACTACTTACTGATTATCAAAGAAGTACGACTCAGACTGGAATCAGACATCCACAAACTCCTGAGGAAAATTTCAATCTAGAATTCCAGAGCCCGTCAAACTACCAATCAAGGTGAGGGCAGAGTTTGAGACATGGCTATGGTACTGGCCTCCCATTCAGAGTAAGATTAAAGTGGTGAGGGCAGAGTTTGAGATAGTTCTTACATTTATAGGGTTCTCTCCAGTATGAATTCCACAACTTTGCCTCTTTCTTGACAAGTGACTTGAGGATGCGCTGCAGTAAAATGAGGGAGTAAGGGAAGAAGGAGGAAGAGATGGAATTCAGGACACAACAGAGCCCTGTGTATCAACAGAACTGAAGGCAGAAAGACCATCAAGGATGGACAAGAGTAGGAGGCTACAGGTATCAGGAAGGCAAATACACGGGGAAAAAAGGGGACTTAACAGAGTAACTGGATGGAGAAGCTGAAAAAACACTGATGTACTAAAAGCAACCAATACAAGCAGGAAAGAAGGCAACTAGAAACTTCTGTGAAAACAAAACGCTGTTCCAAAATGGAAATATAACCAGAGTAAGCTACTCAATCTGCAGTGAACAACATGTACACTGTCATGAGTCATACTGCTTATTTTCAACTTCTAAAACAAATCAAAAAGCATAGAAAAAAGACTAACTATGGTTCCAGAACAGAATTCAAGAGCTTTCAGACGTGACATTGTCAGAGGCAGAGACGTAGAAAAGGGAAGGAGAAAGGGACAGGGTGCATCCCACATCTTACAAAGTGGGAACTGAGATTGTGTTTACAGTTAATACAATAAAAACGAAGTATGCAAATATAATAAATAACTCATTTTTTTCCATTATAAAATTCTTGTTCCTTATAGGAAATATGTAAATTACTTAAAAAAAAAACTTTTAATCACCCATAATTCAATTCTTCACAGGACCTGGGTTTGAACCTAAACTCTGCAATTTACCATCTGTATGGCTGTGAACAAGTCACTTAACCACTTAAAAACTTTTCTTCTATTTCTTTTAGGTAATTTATCTATATGCTTTTTGCTAGTATATGTATCATTATATAAGAAATGTACTATGTACACAATTTTGAATACAGATTTTTTTCATTTCAAAGCATAAAGTAAAACTCTGGATACATATCATGTCATGCTCTTCTATATTTCTAAATATATTTCTAAACATGCCCTTCACCATAGGACGAGAGGTTTCCCAAATCTTGAAAGAAACCTAAGTATGCTAAGTAGGCAGGGCTGGGCGGAGTGGTGGTGAGGTATTACAGGCACCGAGGACAGGGGGAGCAAAGGCACACAGAACAGCCAGCACATGCCTCCAGGCCGCAGTAAAAGGTGCACAGGAAGTAGAGGGTAGGGCAGAAAGAGACTATGAAGAGCTTAGTAAATCCCGTTAAGGGATCCAAACAGTTTCTCACAAAAGATGTGAGAAGAGGGTTTGCTAGACCTGTTTGCTCTGGAACCCAAGGTCTAGGACCATGTTTGCTACAAAGACAGTAGATAATTTTGTATATGATACACAGGAAGCCAGGAATGCCTCCTGGAGTTCTAGTCTGGGTGCTGGACCATGCCATGATTTGCTAAGGGAGGGAAGCCAGAAGCAAAATTCAGCTACCTTCATTTTTTAAAATGTCACTGGTGATGAATGTGCATCCCCAGGTGAGACTTTAGGCCCTAGAGCAGTGGTTCTCAACCTTCTGGCCTTTAAATACAGTTCCTCATGTTGTGACCCAACCATAAAATTATTTTTGTTGCTACTTCATAACTGTAATGTTGCTACTGTTATGAATCGTAATGTAAATATCTGATATGCAGGTTGGTCTTAGGCGACCCCTGTGAAAGGGTCATTCGACCACCAAAGGGGTCGCGACCCGCAGGTTGAGAACCACTGTTCTAGAGTATCCATGGATTGGCCTCAGGGAGCCTAAATGTCCCTGAAGTGAGCACAAAACTGAATGTGCCATCTGCATGTCTCCAGAAGAGGATCCACAACCTCCATCAGAGTCCCAAAGGGGCCGTGACCTCAGAAAGGTCAGGCACACTGGATGGAGCAAGTGGAGAAGCGACAGACATGGGAGGACACCTGCCTCGGCAGGAAGAGATGGGCTCCAGATCACAGAGGAAGGATTAGCTTTGCCCAAGCACACTTCTTCCTGAGCCTGGAGAAATTCACAGCCAACTGTGTTTGCGTATGCGTGTGTTGATCAAGTCTCTCCCCTACACTCCCAAAGTACATCCAATCGCATTATCACTTTCACATCACCGCGCTCCACTTAATCCACATCTGTTGGTCTCATTTAAGAATGAGGACAGGTTTCCCTGCTCCACCCTTAATGCCCATCACTAAGCCTGGCTCTTTGACAACTACAAGTCTGACAGCTCTTAATACAAAGAAAATGAGGCTTCAAAGCTCTCATCCACTTCTAGCCAGCCAAAGGAAAATGGAGAAAACCCCAAACGGAAGCCAGTTCTGCCAATGAGGATAGTCACTCCTCGCCCACCAAACTGTACAGAAAAAAGCGGGAGGTAATTTATTTTAGGATTGGAATTGAATTGGGAGGAAGAGTTATTAGTTGGGGAAGAGTACCTGTCTAGTACTCAATCCACTAGGTTAACATGATTTGTGCAGGATTGGGGGTTCTGAACCTGGGTGCAGGTCTGTGAAGTCTCAGATCTGGAGATGAAATACAAGCAGAAATCTAAAAGGTCATGTTGATAAATGAGGAACAGAAACACATGTAAAACCTAGTCTGCTCATATAAATACTTGATACATTCACTTAAAATACAAATAAAGTAAGTTAGGTCACAGAATCTTAACAAGGGTTAATAGAAGGACCCGAGGGCAGCCAATGGTTTTGCTGAAACCACTTAGAACACTGCATCTCCAGATCTTCCATCCCCGCCTCCCACCGCATTGGATTACACACACCTTGGCCTGCAGGCTTCACTTGACTGCAGTGGCTCATTACCTTGGTTGCACAATGGATCCCCTTCAGAGATTTCAAAATACGAGGCCTGGGAAACAGAAAAATTTTTAAAGAGCCCTAAGTGATTCTGACATGTAGCCAAGGCTGAAAACTACTGCTTTACTGCAAGGTTTGGTCACCAATTCCCAAACCTAGCTTTATATGCCAACCACCTGGGTGGCTTTCTGAAACACCTATGAATGGAAATCTTAAGCCAGGAAATTATAATCATCCATGACTGAGTATTCAATTATGAGGATGAATATACAATGTGAAGCTAAAACAGTTTACCTGTCTTAATGCTTAAAAATTCAAGGTGCTATCTTCCAGGAAAGTACACCATTGGCCTCTTGTGCTATCTTCAAGGTCAGAGACTTATCCCAAAACTTCACACTTGCTCTCCTCCTTTTCAGCTTCCTGATCGTGGTCAGCAGAGACATGTGGTGTTAACGCTGGGTCTCTCCACCCCCAGACAGGGGAACACAGAAGCCACGATCAGGATCAGTGAGCATTTTTTATTCTTACTTTTAAATCCTACTGATTTCTTGTGTTTGTGTCCATATGACTTAGAGTGGCACTGGGAAAGGAAGTTGCATGTGCTTTGATGAGACTATGTTGGAAGGGAGAAAAAGAGGAGCTGAATAAGCTTTCTTGCATATGTCTCCTGTATATGAAAGTGCCCTATAAACAAAGCCCCATGTTGATTAACATTCAGTCTTGCAGAAATGAGACAATAAATGTATGCACCAAACTGCTTACTACTAGGTGCAGCATTTATAAATGCTCTTACATGCTGAGAAGGGTGGTGGTGGACAGACCCAGAAATCAGGAGACTTAAATTCCAATCGGATTTGCTACTGGTCACACTGCCTAAGGCACACCCTGAAATCTGTCACCATCCCTACCTAAAAATAGACTACACACCCCTTTCTCAGGTTCTCCACAGATCTGGGTGGGGATTACAGGTGGTTGGACAAACAGCGTGGCAGAACAAAGAGAATCTGGATTTAGGTCTTAGATTTGAACATTTGTCACTTGTTACGTGGCCTTGCTTTAAATGACCACTCACAGGTAAATGGGGCAAACCCCTCTTTCAGTGTTGTAAGGATTAAGGTAATGATCTATGTAAAAACATGAGATAAGTGCTGGGTTCATGTTATACATGAAGGTACACAAAGAATAAAATTCTATATAAATACAAGGCAATATTACATAACTCTAGTTATTGCATAGTTTTATAAATAATTTTCCAGGAGTAAAGGCTCAGTGGTAACAAAGGTACCTTACCTTAGCCAGTTTCTTCATCCTTCCAAGTTTTCATATTCCAATACCTTTGAACTTCTCCCAAAAAATCAAGACCTTAGGAATTCCACTCTGACCCTCCCTCTCCTTCCCTTTCCCTCTTTGGCCCTCTCAGAATTAGAAGGGCTCCATTTTTTCTTCTAAAGACCACAGAGAAAGTGAGAAGGACACTGACTGAGCCAGTTGGCTGGGCCTGAGCAGTGAGCAGAGGAAACATGGGCAGGCTCTAGGCCAGCTTGTTCTTTGACTCCCCTACCTGGGATGGGGCCGTCAAGAGCAGCTCACTGAAATGGAATGCAGTGGGAGCTGTGGGTTCTTTGGAGAGCTGTTCATCTTAGCAAATGAGTACAGCCCAGCAGCATCTGTGGCCCGTGTGTAATCTCCATCAAACCTCAAGTGCTCGGCCATGCAGACTCGGGAAGGGTCAGAAGAGACTCACCAGAGCTTTCCCATCCAAGGTTCATGAGGTATAGAACGAGGGAAACAGCCATTTTCCTACTTCTGTCCATCTGAGGAGCAGTAGACAGTTAGTAGGTTTAAAAAATATATTTTTAATTACCTAGGGAATGGAAAGCTTATAAATATTCATAGGTGGGTTGTTGGTGAATTGCTACCCCAAGTGGTTTCCTTAACTAGTCACTGCTTAACCCCAAATGCTATGATACAAGGTTCAAAGCGCCAGAATTCCACCAGGCAGACCTATACCAATAAACTGCCTGTTGCTCAAGAAATTACCAGTTTAAAAAAAAACAAATTTAGTTTAAAAATACCTTTCCCCAAGTGGAATCTTCACCATTTAGCTTTGTATGACCCATTTCTAAGAAAGCCACATTCTATTTCCGACACCACCACATCTTAGGGGACAGTTAAAAACAAAGTCCCAGCCTTTAGGGGCTTAGCTTTCATTTTCTTTAAGTCAGCCTCTGAAATGCTTGTGTTTTGTGCTGCACTCCTGAAAACTATTATCTTTAAGACCGTAGCAGGCCTCATTTTTACAAAGGAGGAACACAGCAGTGGTGTCTAATTAGGGGGGTAGCAGGTATGATCAATGCCTGGAGATCTTCCTCTTCCTTTACGTTACTCAACGAGGTGGGTTCTGTGGTGTCGCATGAGGTGGGAGTTGGAAATGAAGGCGGCACCACACTTCTCACACTCATAGGGCTTCTCCCCCGTGTGGGTTCTCTGGTGCACAGTGAGGCTCGACCGCTGCCTGAAGGCCTTGCCACACTCATTGCATGTGTAAGGTTTTTCCCCATTATGGATTCTCTGATGAATGAGCAGGTACGAGCTGCAGGTGAAGGCCTTCCCGCACTCATTACACACGTAAGGAAGATCGCCACTGTGAATCCTCTGGTGCACGATAAGGCAGGAGAGCTGACTGAAGGCTTTTCCACACTCGCTGCAGTCATAAGGTTTCTCTGCAGTGTGGATTCTCTGGTGCACGATCAGGTGTGAAAAACAGCTGAAGGCCTTTCCACACTCTTTACACTCATATGGCTTCTCACCCGTATGGCTTCGCTGATGCACAATAAGATTGGCACTCTGGGTGAAGGCTTTGCCACAGTCATTACAGGCAAAGGGCTTCTCCCCGGTGTGGATCCTCTGGTGGACAATGAGGTTGGAGCTCCGAGTAAATGTTTTCCCACACTCATTACATTCATAGCATTTTTCTGTAATGTGGACTTTCTGGTGCCGAGCAAGTTGTGAGCTGTAACTGAAGGCTTTCTCACATTCACTGCACTTGAAGGTTTTTTCTAAGGAGTGGATTTTTTGATGGACAGTCAGGTTTGAACTCTGAGTGAAGGCTTTCCCACATTTGGAACAAACATAGGGTTTCTGTCCAGTGTGGATTCGCTGATGCACAACAAGGTTGGCACTCTGAATGAAGGCCTTCCCACACTCGTGACACTCAAAAGGTTTCTCCCCAGTGTGGATCCGCTGATGCACCACGAGGTTAGCACTCTGACTAAAGCCTTTCCCACACACACTACAAGTAAAAGGTTTCTGCCCAGGCTGGCTTTTCTGGTTTTTAACAGGGCCAGAACTACGGTTGTATCTTTCCCCAGATTTCTGACATTTCTGGTCTTCTTCTTCTTTGAAGTTTCCAGGTACGTGACAGTCCTTCACTGTCACTTGCCTGAAGTCTTTCTTTTCCCTCTTTATTCTCTGCCCCTTTAACATGTTCCCTTTTTCGAAGGCTTCTTCGAACTCAGGTCCTTGAGAGTCAACTTTCTGGATCCTTCCTGATATCGTGAAGGCTTTTTCTGCTTCATCACATATTTCAGTTTTGGGAACCAATAATTGTGGGTTCTTGGTCTCAGTACCTGAAACAACGAATACAAGTGTCAGCTTTTTCTAACCTAGAAAAAGAATAAGATCATAAAGTCATAAAGGTGAGGAGGTCTGTGACTTCAGTGTCTGTAGAAGGGCTTCATTCAAAGAAAGAATCACCTCTGGCCCTGGCTGGTAGCTTGGTTAGTTAGAACGTCGTCTCAATATGCCAAGGTTGTGGGTTTGATCCCTGGTAAGAAGGAACCAATGAATGCATAAATAAATGGAACAACAAATCAGTTCCTCTCTGTCTTTCTTACTTTCTCTCTCTCTCTCTCCCTATAATAATAAAATTAAAAAAGAATCCCCTCACATGCCACCTCTCCTCTGTAGGTTCCTCTGCCTGGCCTATGATCTCCCCCACACCTAGAGCAGAGTCCACTGATTCATGGTCTTTCCAGCACTTCCATTTCCCTCCACTAGACATTTAACACACGGCCTTATGCCAGGGAAGCCATCTCCAGACAGGTCTCCTCTGGCTGTCTGATGACTGATCTCACAATTAAGACCAGTTCTGCAGGACACCAGTCTGTCCCCAGGCTTGCCTTCTTACCTTGTCCACTTAGTGTGAACCTGCTTCCAACCCACCAGTTACTTAGAGAGATGCCCTACCTGTGGATGAAGATCTGGGCAACTTAGGCTTTTGTATATGAGAATGCTGCATATCAGAGAGAGAATAAGATGGACAGAAAGGGCCACACTGGCCAAACGCCTCCAAAACATTAAGTGTAGCAGAGCACTTAAGAACATGAATTCTGGCTCTAACCGGGTGGGCTCAGTGGATAGAGCGTCAGCCTGTGGACTCAAGGGTCCCAGGTTCTATTCCAGTCAAGGGCATGTACCTTGGTTGCAGGCACAGCCTGACCAGTGGTATTGTGGGTCACAGTGCTGGGACCAGAAGGAAAGATGAACCTTAGGGTATGGCAGTTGCTATGGTAATAGATGGCAACACTAGAAGGGACTAAAGACGACTGGGAACAGAGTAAACACCTTACCCCCGATGTCGAGGAAACAGCCTCGCCTTTGTCAGGGAAAGATGACCTTTTCGATTTAAGTGTAAGACATGAGGTAACCTGCTCCACAGTGGCAAAAAGTACCACGAGAACATCAAAGCTTCCTGAAGCATTAAAACTCTGACTAGCCCTGACCGGTTTGGCTCAGTGGATAGAGCGTCGGCTTGCGGACTGAAGGGTCCCGGGTTCGATACCGGTCAAGGGCATGTACCTTGGTTGCGGGCACATCCCGGGTGGGGGGTGTGCAGGAGGCAGCTGATCTATGTTCCTAACTCTCTAACCCTCTCCCTTTCTCTCTGTAAAAAATCAATAAAATGTAAAAAAATAAATAAATAAAACTCTGACTAGTTTCTGGTTGCTCTACATCAAGCATATCAAACTCACAGTCCGCGGCCCACAACGAATATTTTTGCGGCCCAGCCAAAATAATGGTATGTAAACCATAAAAATACTGGAGGAATCCAAAGGAAACAAAATCTCAGACATATGCCGAAGCAATTTCTTCACTGATACAGCTCCTAGGGCATTGGAAACTAAAGAGAAAATAAACCAATGGGACTACATAAAAATAAAAAGCTTTTGTACAGCAAAAGAAACCATCAACAAAACAATAAGAACCCCCACTGCATGGGAGAACATATTTGCGAATGTTATCTCTGATAGGGGTTTAATCTCCAACATTTATAGGGAACTCTTACAACTTAACAAAGAAAGATAAACAATCCAATAAAAAAATGGGCAAAGGACCTAAATAGACACTTTTCAAAAGAGGACATTCAGAAAGCCAAGAGACATATGAAAACATGCTCAAAGTCACTAATCATCCAAGAGATGCAAATCAAACAACAATGAGGTACCATCTCACACCTGTCAGAATGGCTATAATCAACATATCAACAAATGACAAGTGCTGGAGAGGATGTGGATAAAAAGGAACACTTGTGCACTGCTGGTGGGAATGCAGACTGGTGCAGCCACTATGGAAGACAGTATGGAGTTTCCTCAAAAAACTAAAAATGGAACTCCCATTTGACCCAGTGATCCCACTTCTAGGAATATATCCCAAGAAACCAGAAACACCAATCAGAAAGGATATACGCATCCCTATGTTCATAGCAGCACAATTTACCATAGCTAAGATTTGGAAACAGCCTAAGTGCCCATCAGCAGATGAATGGATTAGAAAACTGTGGTACATCTACACAATGGAATACTACACTGCTGTAAAAAAGAAGGAATTCTTACCATTTGCCACAGCATGGATGGAACTGGAGAGCATTAGGCTAAGTGAAATAAGCCAGTCAGAGAAGGATAAATACCACATGATCTCACTCATTTGTGGAATATAATGAACAACATAAACTGATGAACAAGGACTGATCCAGAGACGGAGAGGCATTGATTGGACTGTCGGGCCTTGGAGGAAAGGTAAGGGAGGGTGGGGGTAAAGGGGAGAAATCAACCAAAGGACTTATATGCAAGCATATAGGCCTAACCAATGGACACAGACAATGGGGGAGTGAGGGCATGAGCTGGGGGGTAGGGGATAACGTGGGGATAAGGACACATATGTAATATCTTAATCAATAAAAAATATATTAAAAAAAATTCAATTTGCAAAACTTGGAGCTTACATAACCATGAACCACAGACAAAGCACAAGTGTTCTCATGTTTATAAAAATATTTCAAGATGTTTGAATGAACTAAAAATAAGTTATGCATAAAGGCTTAAAAATTGGTTTTTAATGTAAAACTTTAATAAATTCAACATTGCCGAAACCGGTTTGGCTCAGTGGATAGAGCGTCGGCCTGCGGACTGAAAGGTCCCAGGTTCGATTCCGGTCAAGGGCATGTACCTGGGTTGCGGGCACATCCCCAGTGGGGGATGTGCAGGAGGCGGCTGATCGATGTTTCTCTCTCATCGATGTTTCTGACTCTCTATCTCTCTCCTTTCCTCTCTGTAAAAATTCAATAAAATATATTTAAAATAAATAAATAAATAAATAAATAAATAAATTCAACATTAATCAATATACAGAAAACTGTAGACACTCTCTCTCAAACTTTGAAAACCCAGTAACATGTCACAATTTCCAAAGCACTTTCATGTATATTATTTTAGCACCAAAATGAAGCTTCTCCTTCACTTGAGTGGGAGCCACAAAAGGGCAGTGTGTCTTATTTACTGCTGTAGCCCCTGCAACAATTGTCCTGCCTAGCACAGAGGAAACTGGCCCCCAATCAACCCTGTACATATCGAATGAATGCACTGCATTTACAGAACAGGAAATGGGGGTCCAGGAGCGAACAGATTTGCTCAAGGCCATATAATTATCAGAGGCAGGGCACCAACTACACTCAGATCTCTCTTACTTCTCAGAGCTCAGTGTTCTTGCTCTGACCTGCTGCTGTGGAAGTGGCTGGCAGCACAGAACAGTAAGTCTTAGCTGGGAACAGAGTCTTGAGGTAAGAGGCAGAGAAGGAAAATAAAGGCCATTCCTGGCGGACAGGTACAGTTGTGGAAGTTAAGACTATGAATGACTGATAAAGCAAGGACACAGAGAAAAAATGTTACACAGGGGAATACATCAGAGAGAATGGAATAGAAAGCAGAAAGTGAACAGAAGCTGCGAAGAGTTTGGGGAATAAGTAAAAAACGGACAAGAAGATGAAAGGCGGAGATCCCAACCTTCCTCACAACACTGGTGTAAGAACGTGAGTTGGACCACAAAAGCCTGAGGAACTGGCTAGTAAGGAAAATGGGTTCAAAATATTCAGACTCTGCCCTGTACCAGACAGACTCATAAAGTTGAGTGCCCAAAGGAGCCTTGGTAGATGTCCAGGGTTCGCTTCCACAACAGAGGACTCATGGCTACCACATTCTTCAGCCAGTTACACATCACTCCCTTGGAAAGCCTCTGCCACTGCTAGTTAGATATATAACACTAGAGGCCCGGTGCACGAAATTCATGCAAGGGGCTCAGCCCTAGCGGCCCTGGCTGGCTTGTGGCCCTGCCCACTGGTCATTCTGGAAGGTCGTTCTAGAACAGCCGTGGGCAAACTATGGCCCGCGGGCCGGATCCGGCCCATTCGAAATGAATAAAACTAAAAAAAAAAAAAGACCGTACCCTTTTATGTAATGATGTTTACTTTGAATCTATATTAGTTCACACAAACACTCCATCCATGCTTTTGTTCCGGCCCTCCGGTCCGGTTTAAGAACCCATTGTGGCCCTCGAGTCAAAAAGTTTGCCCACCCCTGTTCTAGAAGGTCATTCTGCTGTCCGGTCTAATTAGCATATTAGCTCTTTATTATATAGGATACCTCCCTTTCCTAAGTCCCAGCTTAGAGAACCAGATGATAAACCACCATATCCTTCATGAGGACCTAGTTTTGAACACCATTACAGCTGACACTACTGCTCAAAAGCCTCTAGAATGTGTAAGAAGTTCTAGGAAAACAGAACATCTCCAGGGCATTTTCTCAAAATCACCAACCTATGCTAAACATAAAGTATATGAAGAGGATGTGTACCCATATGTGTGAATAGATATGAAACCTGCTCAACAATAAATGTGATTAAAAGGTGAATCTGAAGTCCACCTGTGTTTGGTGTCTTGAGACTCTATGCAAAATAAGCCATCTCCTGTGACAAATGCATGGGCACCTTTCAGCATTCTGAATCAGGCTGAACTTACCTGGGGAGGTCATGCTCCCATGAGTCTCCAGTGTCTCGCTCTCGGCCAGACTCCCTGATAACGAGCAGCTGCTGAGGGTTGAAGCAGCAGGCACCTCCTGCGTGGCTTTCAGGACTACCGCCATGTCCCAGAACATACTCTGCCCCTAGAGACAGGCAGGCATAGGGGGGTTTATGAGAGGATGGTCACTGGGATCAGGGGGTGGAGGGTAGTCAGGTATGACGACAGCTTTTGAGGATGAGAATGTTAAGTACCTATTCCTGGAAATGATAAAACAAACAACCTTCCCCCCACTTTTTTTAAAAAACTGATTTTAGAGAGGGAGGGAGAGAGAGGGGGTTGGGGAAGAGAGAGAGAGAGAGAGAGAGAGAAAAAAAAAACATCCATCATTTGTCTCCTGTATGTACTCTGACTGGGTACTATATACCAACCTTTTTGGTACATAGTACAACATTCCAACTGACCCGGCCAGGGCTCCAAACATTATTTTTTTATAAAAAGGAACAGGAAGTTAAGGAAGCCAGTCTTTCCTAATCCCCATGATGAGTTAGGCAGAGAAGCAAGCCTGCCACCTTCTTCCCTGTCACTCTGATTTCACCTCAGTGCTCACTCTAGCATCCAAACTTAACTTGCCAGTGAGTGCATGACAAGACAAGAGAGCACATGGGGAGGCTTTCCAGAGTAGAATTTTCTGAGGTCTAAAGATCAAAGATCATATTATTAAAGAGGCTTTGGGGAACCTCATCTGGCCAATGATGGCAAGGGGTGTGTTTGAAAACACAAGGACAACAGTGTAGTACAAAGCCTCACGACTCTAAGTGTCCTTTGCAGTTTAAAAGAATCACATCACCTGAGAGCTTGTGAGAAATGCAGACTCTCAGGTCACACCCCACACCTGAATCAGAATCTGCATTTCAACAAGACCCTGCCACAGTGATTCCTATGCATGTTAAAGTTTGAGAAACAAAGGTCAGAATGATCAAATCCTGACTGGAATCAGCTAGAAGGTGTTTTTTTTTTAAAATATATTTTATTGATTTTTACAGAGAGGAAGGGAGAGGGATAGAGAAAATAGAAACATCGATGAGAGAGAAACATCAATTAGCTGCCTCTTACACACCCCCTACTAGGGATGTGCCCGCAACCAAGGTACATGCCCTTGACCGGAATCGAACCTGGGACCCTTCAGTCCACAGGACCATGCTCTATTCACTGAGCCAAACTGGTTAGGGCCAACTAGAAGGTTTTTAAAACTGGACAAGTCTGGGTCCTGCCCCCAGATACTGATTTAACTGGAATGCAGTATGGCATGGGCATCACAGTTTTATAAAAAGCTCCCCAGGTAATTCTGTGTAGGAAAGTTTGAGAACCACCAGTTTATAAAGTACTAGATGCCAGCCATGGCCGGTTTGGTTCAGTGGATAGAATGCCAGTCTGTGGACTGAAGGGTCCCAGGTTCAATTCCGGTCAAGGACACATGCCCAGGTTGCATGCTCAATTCCCAGTGGGGGTGGAGGCAGCCAATTGATTTTCTCTCATCACTGATGTTTCTATTTCTCTCTCCCTCTCCCTCCTGTTTGAAATCAATAAAAATGTGTTTTTGTTTTTTTTTAAAGTACTAGATGCCACATCAATCAGAAGAGAATGCTCCTTTATGTTCCAAAGGACTGAAGTCCAGAGCTCCAGCTGAGAAACAAGGCTCCAGGAGTGGCAGCAGAGGGACAGCAGCCCCTCTGAAACCCCTGGAGATCCTTCGGTCTCTCCTCCCTCATTCCTCCCAGACCATTATTTACCTTTTCCTCCTGCTCTGCCCCGTCAAGGCCTTCCCAGGGATCCTCTCCAGGAACCCCGGCTTTGATGTCCTCAGAATGCACTTGTTGGCTGGATGCCTGACCTAGGAAGCTTTCCTCTTCTTCCTCCTCCTTTTTCACTGTCACTGCGCCCCAAGGGGCCAGGGCCATGGCCTCTCTCAAATCTGCAGTCATCTTCTCTGCTTAGCAGAACTCCTGCAGCTGAGGGCTGCCCAGCAGAGGTCAAGCCCCATCTAATCTTTAATTTCAACAGTATCTTCTTGAGTTTCCTCCCAGGGCCAGGATGAGTACCGTCTACTGAGAAAGCAGAAAACGTTGTTAGCATCAAGCAGATGTTTGCCTGGCTGCTACCAAGCCCACTGGCCCATTTCACCAGTGCCTAGACAGGGGCCACTGCAGCACAAGGTCTGCTCTACTCCTCACACATAGGATGGAAGGGGTTGGACTGTAAACAGGTAATTTGTCCCCATGATAATTACACTGCAAACAGCTTTATATAATGTCTATTGATTTTTTTCTGATTATAAAGTTGATACATTTTTATTGTAAAGACTTGAAAAATACAAAAAATGATTAAGAAAAATCATCCCTGGTTCACCTCCAAAGAGGTAACCACTGTGTATGATAGGATATATTTCTTTTAAGAGAAAACTTCCAACCACATTGACAATTATGAGAAGTTAAACTTTTTGTTTTTAACTATGAGGATTCATATTTTCACAATGGTCACCATGGGGTTTTTCTGTGTATTTTTTTTTTTTTAAGAAGGGACATGACAACACAAAAATTTTAGTGCCAAAGGTAAATAATAGAATGATAATAGAATAATAGAATAATAATCTCAAGAAAAACCTGGGAGCCTAGACACCAACATATTAGGAGTGGTTATCGCCGGGTGATGTGATTACAGGTAGTTTTGAGGTTCTTTTTGCTTGTTATATTTTCCATTTCTTCCAAATGTCCCCTGAGACTAAGTATTAGTCTTAAGATAAAGAAGATTTTTTTCATGTTGCCATTCTTCACACTTATCATTTTTAGTAGCTACACAATAACCTAGGGTGTTATCATTCCCATTGAAAAAGGATCAATACAGAAATACACAGAATTAAATATACACACACACACACAAATTAGTGATCAGTCTACTTAATCTTTTCTCTGTACTGCCATACACTATATACACCTTCACACTTACTGTTTATTTTTCCACAACACATTAGATCATATATGTATACTGTTCAGCAACCTGTATTGTTTTTTGAACTCAATTTCTATATTTCACAATAGTCTAGTAGTCTCAGATAGACGTTTTAATGTAAGTACATTCAGAGCTATCTCATTCTGGCATAGTACTCTCAATTATAGCGATAATTTACTTAACCATCCCTAATTTATGAACCATTGCTTCAGCAAAAGGAGTTTTGATTGTTTCCACTTATTTTCTTAGTAATAATTAATGCTAAGATTTTTCTGTGCAAACAGAATAGAGGAATTACTGGTTGAAGGAATTTATGATTGACATGTACTGTCAAATTGCTTCCTAAAAGGACCACACCAAATCACACCACTAACTTAACAGTACCCTTTCATCACAGCCAAGCCAACAGGTTTGTTTGTGCTGTTGTTTTTTTTAAGTAACACAATTACCTTAACATTTTCGTTGGTTATGAAGAGAATGAGAGATTTCTATTCCCCTGCAGATGCTTTATTAGAATAAAAATGCTTTTACTAACCTTTTGTTGCTACTGAATTGTTGCTACTGAAGTGAGCATATGATTTTCCCCACGTGTTAACTTACTGTATACATTGAATTTCTTGAGTAACGCAATACTTGCACTCCTGCAACAAATTTTAATTCTGGAATATTACTCTTTCCTTGACTAGCCGAATTCTAGGTAGGAAGACCCTTAACACTCGTTTCACCTGTGACTAAGCAAGATTGGCCACTCTGAGTCCTGTCATCAGGCTGCTGAGCACACTCAGATCGGCGTCCGGCCCGTGACAGCACCGAGTCCCCATCCAGGGCTTTCCTTCCCATGTCCTTTCTTTCCAAACGTGGCAGCCCCTCTCCTCCATCTCCAAGCCCCACGCAGCCTGTTCCCGGTACGCCCGGCTCCTGGGAGGTTCGTGTCCCACCTCCCCGCGGCCAGGCCCTCCGTAGGCGGCAGCCGGGTTCCCGAAGCGCTGGGGCGCGGAGCCACCCTCGGACCGGGCTGGGGTCCCCACCACAGGGATGGCCCCTCCCGCGCCCCCGCCGCTCGCGCCCCCCCCAACCCAGCTCACCGTGCGCTGCTGAGAGGCCGGGCCACAGCACTCATGGGCTTTGGGGCCTCAGGCCGGCGGGCGGAGACCCCCTCGGCTAGCGGCTAGCGGCGCCAGAACAATGACCGGACAGGAAGTGCCTCGGGATGGGCTTCCGGCTCCCCAAGTCGCCATGCCGGCCTCTCTAGGAATCTGGGAGGTGCTTTCCTCTCGATGGGTATCCTATATTGCTGCGGATCTGGGATGCGAGCAAAAGCGCTCAGAAAGGGGGGTGCAGGGAGGGTGGGCATCTGCGGGCTGACAGGGGCAGTTAAACGAGGCGAGCACCCAGGAGCCCGAAGCTACAAAGATTTAATCCGTAGAAAGCCCTGATAATTTTGCTCCAAATGTTTTATTTTGAAATTATCAAACAGGTACAGAAAAGTTGAAAGGTACAATACCTGTAGCCTCCATCTGGACTTAATCAACCTTTGCTACGTTTGCTTTGTACCATACATACTGAAAAACATTTTTTTGAAAGTGGTAAACATCAAAACACTTCATCCCAAATACTTCAATATTCATCCTTTCATAATAATATTCTCCAAACACCATCATTATAGGTAAGAAAACTAGTAATTTCCTAATATTGTTATTCACATTTTCCCAACTGTCCTAAAATACATATTTCATAATTTTGTTTTTCCAAATCAGTTTCCCACACTGCATCACACTCCTTAGTCTCTATTTTTACTTTTTATTTTGACTTAAAGATTCACAGGAAGTTGCAAATATACTAGCCTCCCCAAACAGGTATATCTTACATAATTATATAAAACTCAGAAAATCAAGATTGGTACAATGTGTGTGTATAATTCTTGTCATTTTATCACAATATGTATAGATTTGTATAATCAACACAATCAAGATACACACAACTGTTCCAACACTTAGATTTCCCTCCCTCTCCCCTGCTCCCTCCCCACCATTCTCAACTTCTGACAACCACTAATCTGTTTTTCACTTACGTAGTTTTGTCATTTTAGAAAATTATGTAAATAGAATTATACTTTTTTACCTTTTGAGATTGGATTTTTCACTCAGCATAATTCACTTAAAATTCACTTGAGTCATTGCAGGTATCAATAGATTACTCCATTTTATTGCAGAGTAATAATTATTTCATCATATAGATATACCAATTTGTTTAACCACCCACTGAAGGACATTTGGGTTACTTACAAATTTTGATTATGAAAAAAACTGCTATGAACAGTCATGTACAAGTCTTCACCTGAACGTTAGATTTCACTTCCCTGGGATAAATGCTCAAAAGAGCAATACTGGGAAGAAACTGCCAAACTATTTTCCAGAGTGGCTGTGCCATTTAACATTCCTGGCAAATGAGATCCATTTTCTCCACATCCTTGCCAGCATTTGATGTGAATACCATTTATCTGTTTCCAAAGCGATTCTGTGCAGTTATTTTTAACTTGCATTTCCCTAATGACTAATAATGTCAAACAACTTTTCATTTACTTATTTGCCATCCATACTTTGGTGAAATGTATGACTTTTGCTCATTTTTAAATTAAATCCATTTACTGAGTTTGGAGAATTCTTTATATAGTCTAACTACAAATCCTGTATGGATGTACGATTTGTAAATATTTCATCCTCTTAAGAGACTTTTACTATATTTTACTTCTTGAGTTCAGAGAGGGAGAGGGAGAGAGTGACAGAAACATCAATGATGAGTCATTGAACTGCTGCCTCCCAAACACCCCTGGGCCATCTGCCCTGACCTGGAATCAAACCATGACCTCCTGGTTCATAGGCAGATGCTCAACCACTGAGGCATGCCAGCCTGGGCCTCTCAAGAGTCTTTTAAAGAGCAAATAATTTTTTCCTCTTATGGAGCATGTTTTTTATAAAAATCTAAGAATTCTTTGCTTAGTTCCCAATTATTCATTTATTTAGCCTATGGACATCCAATTGTTCCAGCAGCATTTGCTGAAAAGTCCCTCCTCTGCTGAATTCCTTTTGTATCTTTGTCAAAAATCAATTGGGCATTTGTGTGAGTCTATTCCTGCCTTAGCATCTTATTGCTCTTTGGTATCTTTTTTAAAAACATGTATTTTTATTGATTTAGAGGGGGAGAAGGAAATAGAAACATCAATGATGAGAATCATTGATCAGCTGCCTCTTGCACACAACCCCACTGGGGATCAAGCCTACAACCAGGACGTGCGCCCTGACCAGGAATCGAACCGTGACCTCCTGCTTCATAGGTTGATGCTCAACCACTGAGCCACACTTGCTGAATGATCTTTAGTATCTTTTAAACACAACTTCCTAATTCACATTTTATACCTTTTACTGTTAAATTTTATACATACTGTATATAAAAGCAGAGAACAGTACAATGAACTCTCAATACTCATCCAGCTTCAAAGATTATCACCTCTCCCCTTTTCATCGTCATTTTGAAGAATACAGTGCAGTTTTCTTGTACAATATCCCACATCTGAATTTGTTTCTCCTGATGTCATTTATCTTGTTTTTCTGCTTCCTGTAGGTCCTGTAAACTGGCAATTTGGTCCAAGAAGCTTGATGAATTCAGGTTATACTTTTAGCTTATTGCATCCCTATGAGGAGGCACATTATATGGGTTGTTTCAGCCTTAATAATGTTGCATTTTAATTGGTTAAGAGGTAAATGCTAGTTTTCTCCATTCTTAAAGAACATTTACCTTTGTAATTATTACATAATCCGGGGTGATTCTTCTGCAGCATGGATATAAAACAATTTCATATTCATTACCTTGTAATAACTTCATGAGGTATTCTTCCTCCTGCTTAACAGATGAGGAAATCAAAGTTCCAAGAAATTAAGGCATTTGTCCAAGTTGAAGAATCTAACTCATAACCAGGTCTTAATTTTTAACCTTGGGCCCATTCCAGTATTCACTTTTGGGTACCTTCATTCTAATGAGGAACCAGCCCTCAAGGAAATTTGGAGTTGAATTAATAATTATTATAATCAACATACCACTTCAATACTACTGGTAATTAGGAAACACAATCCTGACATTAATAGTCCAGCTGCAGAATTAGAGTTTTGAGAATGACAACATAAAATTATCAACTCAAAAATACAGGTTGAATTAAATTTACAAATGTACAAAAGGGAAAACTGAACAAATGGTTGCTTTACAGGGAATAATGGACCTAACGGCTCAGAAATGTATTCTGAATTGGTTTAATTAGAGCTTGAAGGGCTTGTTTCTTAAGTAAAAAGCTATCTCATGTCAACAATGATAAATTGAGGGCAATGCCAGGGATAATCAGCTCAAGGGTTGGGGTTAAGGCAGGGGTGGGCAAACTTTTTGACTCGAGGGCCACAATGGGTTCTTAAACTGGACCGGAGGGCCGGAACAAAAGCATGGATGGAGTGTTTGTGTGAACTAATATAAATTCAAAGTAAACATCATTACATAAAAGGGTACGGTCTTTTTTTTTTTTTTTTATTTTTATTCATTTCAAACGGGCCGGATCCGGCCCGCGGGCCGTAGTTTGCCCACGGCTGGGTTAAGGGCTTTTCCCTATGAACAAGGTAAGCAACACAGGACTGCCCTTCCATTCTGATACTCTACATACACTAGGTTTCAAATTTGAAGATTGAAAAGAAATTGTTTGCATTGGTATCAGTGTTAATGGGTGGATATATTATTTTCCCACAATAATTCAGTATTATTATGTAAAAACAAACTAGGGCAGTGGTTCTCAACCTTCCTAATGCCGCGACCTTTTAACACAGTTCCTCATGCTGTGGTGACCCCCAACCATAAAATTATTTTTGTTGCTACTTCCTAACTGTAATTTTGCTACTGTTATGAATCGTAATGTAAATATCTGATATGCAGGATATATTTTCAGGGGTCACGACCCACAGGTTGAGACCGCTGAACTAGGGTCTATTAACTCCCTTAAACATTTAAAAAATCATTTTCCAGTTGTTCAAGCAAACAACCTAAAATTCTTTTTTTTTTTTTAATTGATTTTAGAGAGAGAAGGAGGGAGGAAGAGAAACACTGCCTGGTTGCCTCCCATATACACCCCGCCTGGGGATCAAACCTGCAATCTAGGTATGTGCACTGACCAGGAATTGAACTGGCAATCTTTTGGTGTATGGGATGCCACTCTAACCAACTGAGCCACCAGCCAGGGTTCCCTTAAACATTTTTTGTGGGAGGAGTTAATCCTTACCTGAGGATATTTTTCCATTGATGTTTTTTTAGGGAGAGTGGAAGAGAAAGGGAAATGCAGAGAGAAACATCGATGTGAAACAAACAGACTGGCTGCCTCCTGCACAAGTCTTGACCAGGGCCCAGGCGGGGGAGGAGCCTGCAACCAAGGTACGTGCCCTTGACTAGAATAGAACCTGGGACCCTTTGGTCTGCAGGCCGATGCTCTATCCACTGAGCCAAACCTGCTAGGGCCCTTTAAATATTTTTAAAGCTGTATTTTTTACATCTTCTTAGAGAGCTAAATTCCAGTTAGCTATATACCACATTTCATCTTATTATAAAAATGAATGCCTTTTGAGGTTCACAGAGTCTGAATATTAATTAATGAACAAATATTACATTATGCCGTGTTCTAGACTGTGACTATAACCCTTTTATCCAACTTTACTGTCAACTAAATTACTTCACGAAGTACTTTCACAAAGATTCTTTCAGTTAACCCTCTTAACAATCCTGTGAGGTAGGCATTATGGTAATATTTGACTGACAGAGAAACTGAGGCTTACATGCTGACTCACACATTGGTAGTAAGAGAAAGGGCCAGGAC